GTGTCTTCTCTAGACACTCTAGTGCTACCTAATATGCAGCTGCTAGACTCTATGGCATACCATTAATACCACTGATCCCCAATAACATACTTGGGCATATAGTCAATTTTATTTGATCCATCCATGGCAAAGTATATTATCATATTTTAACAATGGGGCAGTTCATACCCAAAATAACATTCATGGTAAAATATCACATTATTCATGATCAATGCATTATAATTTCACACTATGACATATCATTGTCATATCGAAATTATAAAAATGATATAAAATCATGCTGATATAAACAAGGTCGACTTATCGCAAGTCTTCTTGATGATGTATAAAACAACCATGTATAATTTCATACATGTATTGCACTCACCTTGACACTTTATATCTTTCAAAATATGTGCCTCACTATTGTCCACAATAAACCCTTTTCTATTTGATTTGTTTCAATCACAAATCAAACACGATCTGCATAAATCACAAATTCATAATGATACATATGTCAGTATTTTACTAACATAAACATATCCCAAAATAACTCCATAATATACTTGAAACTCATTTTCTATCAAAATACTCAATACTTAATAATTCCTTTTAACATTAGAATTTATTCAAAATGGTCTCTTACCATTAAATTTCAATTCCAAGCATCCAAAAATATATTCAACATTTAAACATTACTCTTCATTTTCTAATCCCTTTCCACTTAAATTCTAAAATTTTCATATTCAGACAACTCGCACTACCTTTAAAAATCAGTATTCTGTATTGATATACACACTTGAATTTAATTTTGTTTCTTTTTTTGAAAGCTAGACTCAAATACAAATCTATCCATATAAACAACTCCTTCTAATTCATTCTGTACAATTTATGGTGAATTTTCAAACTTGACAAACATAATCTGTTTTGTGCAGAATATGCTGCCCGTTTTTCTGACATTTTCTCGGTTAAAAATTCATATCTTTTTGTATACACCTTGAAATTGATCCCCGTTTGTTTTAAACAAAACTAGATCGATATATGAACATAAATATATAAAAATAACTTCCAAATTATGTTTATATAATTTCTGGTGAATTTTCAAACCCATTGCCAAATTCAAAATCTAAATTGTTTTCTTTAACTTCATCCTTAGGTTCTTCATCAATTCTTACAACCAATTCTTTAAAATCACTTAACTCTTCATAACCCCTAAAACACAAGAAATCAACATCTCATTCATCAACTCAAGATGAACTCGAACATAAAACCTATTGATATTCATGTCAAAACGTAGCAAATTGAACGTAGAACATTTTTCCTAACTACACCGAAGTCTAATTCTCAAGAAAATAGCTTCAAAATTCAAACTAAAAATATTTACCTTGCAAGCTTGAAGATGTCGGCCATTGGATGAAGAAGAAGCTAAAAATGCTCCATCGTTATTGTTATTCTAATGTTAAATAAATCTAGCACATGACTTAATATATTATAATGGAATTTTTTATTTAATTCAATAGGAAATTTCATTTTTTCCATTAACGAATCTCTGTAACTACAACTTTGCCACTCTATGACATCATCCCTTACCTCATCATATTCATAAAATATCTTAATTTTGATTTTACACTTCTATCCTTGAAATTTTTGAATGTTGCAATTTAATCACCAAATTCCACTGTTTCGGTTAAATCTGAAAAATTGCACATTTTCAAACCAAATATCTCTTATCTAAAATATTAAAATAATATTTTCAACCATTTTATAACATCCTTCAAATTTTCGTACAATTCCAATTCGATCCGAATTTCCGATTCCTTACCGGACTTTAACCTTTTCTAATTTTTCTTTACTAAAATTTCAAATCAAAAAATATGATTTCTATAAAACCCCACTCTCAAGAGTAAACTATCCATTTATGGAATAATTTTTTTAAGGTTTCCACTTAATTCCTCAAACTTTTCCCAATTTTGTACTTTGACCATCAAACTTTCAAAATTTTCATTTTGGTCATTATCTGAATTTTTGGGGTATTACAATCTTAGTCGTATAAGGTCTCGTTGTTAGAGTACGGGATGAGTCTGTCATCATCGGCGTCAGGGAGGTGAAGAGTCGAGAGCTTCTGAGGAGGGTAGGGTCTCGTTTAGTCCTCTTTAGGTTTTGATTTAGGTCTGGGAGGATAAATCGGAGCGTTAGGGTTATTTTGGGTTAACTCTTGGTCTTCTCAGTCACTGTGGGTAGTGACCGGGGGTTTGAACCGTCGTATAAATGCGGTGGTTGTGTACTTTGGTGAGGGTGGCCGGTTGAAGAGGTTACAAGAAAGGCTGAGAGTTTTTTTAGAATTTTTTTGGTTTGAGTTCAAAATGAAGCAAAAAAAAATTATTATTTATAGGTACCTTTTTTTAAGGAAAAAGTAAATATTGCTCTTTAGTCCCTTGAAAGTTAGCACTTTTTTGTATTATGATCAACTGTATGCGTGAGTTTTTTAATTAGAAATGTTTGTACCAATTTTGATATTTTCCATATTTGTGTTTATTAATTGGCCAGGGTTAATTTATGGGTTATTCTATTTCGGTCGCTAGTTGCTTCATTTTTTTATTATTTTAATTCCTAATACATTATTTTGTTCTTTTATTATTTAGACTCTATATTCTGTTATTTTATCTTAATTTGAATCTAGCACTTTTTTATCATTACATTTTAGTCAATGTTTGTTTAAAATTTGTTGCTAATCTAAACTTAATACGATCTTGCAGTCAGTTACTCTGGGTTACAACCCGCATTGTTACGATCGGGATAAAACTCAAATTTATTGATTTCTAACTTACTAACCTCTAACTTTATTACTAATTTACTAATTTCTAACATTAACCACTAAACATTAACTTTTTTTACGTTTGAATTAATTTACGACCTTGTGGTGACATGCTATGAGGTATGACTCGCATTATTATGTTTCAGATAAAATTATCAAAATTGACCACTAACTTTTATTTTGATTCGATTGTTTAATTTCTATATTTTTTGTTTCTATCCCTTTAATTTTATGTACTTTTAATTTTAGTTATTAAATTTATAGTATTTATATTTCAGTCCTTTTAATTTCAAGCTTTTATTTTCTACAGTTTTTAATTTAGGTTTTATATTCTAATTTATTTCAATTTAGTCCCTTGTGCTTTTAATTTCTTGTAATGTTGATTGCAATTTACTATTTTGATTTAGTCCATAATTGGAATACTCTCATTCTATGTTTATTCCTTTAATTTATTTTCCTTTTAATTTAGTCCCTATACTTTTGTTTCATAAAGGTCTAGGTATTCCTTCAAATTAATATATATGATACCCTTGTAATCATTTCTTGACTTGATCGAAATAATTGTATTAAGGGTAATACCCTTTCATTTTAGGTTCGTTGTTAAGTGATTGTCTTAAGTTATAAGGAGGTCACTTCCACTGATTTTAAAATCTGATTTTAAAATAAAAGTGTATCATACTAAGTGGAAACCTTAAAAATGATCTCACCTAGAATTTGGAAACGAGGGAAAATGATAATGTTCGTTTACTTAAATTCACAAAGAAAGGATCGCTAGAACGTATAAAATGTGCGTTCTCGATATCTTTAAATAATCTAACATACTTATTCTAAAGAATTGGTAACACGTAATTAATATAATTTCTTAATTTTATTTCCTTTCATGGGATTAAATATGGATTAATAACGAATTTATAAATCGAATAACAATATTTCTTTGTTTCGATTGAAAAATGAATGGAGGCATGAGATGTCCTTTTTATATTGATTGGAAATAATTAAATGTCATATTTTTTTTCTTTCCTAAATTCAATGACTAATTTGTATGTGTTATAAAAAGGGATCTTAAATTAGATTACGTTCAAATTCTTATTGCAAAGACAACTAATTAATTGACTGGGTATCAATTTAGGGCGCTGTGGGGGTGCTAACCCTTCACCATGTGTAATCGACTCCCGAACTCGATTTTTGGTACATAGTCTTTATAATGTTATTTAACATAATTAAAATCAAAATTTATTAAAATGATAAATTTGTTTCAGGTGCCCAATCATACCATAATCAATGATTGGTGGAGACTCCATAATCCGTGTTTATTATTTTAAATCTGAGTCCCAAATTAGTCCAGACAACCGCTTTTTAAAAAAACTTCGGTTTTATCGCCTTAAAAGAACACTTTGACACCATATATGTTCCTTTTTGAAGGAAAGCATCAACAATGTTCCCATGAGCCCTAAAATCACCCACAATCCCTTACGATGAATCTTTTCCAGACATATTATACATGTAAAGAGTGAAACACTTCAAGGATCATCCACAACCTGACCACATCATTGTTTACTATGGTTTTGATTGTAACTTCATGACCTCGTCTAGGAAGAAATTCAGTCATAACTCTAACCCATTACGTTTTTAATACGACTCTTTTTTTTCGATTTTGAGTAAGTTTGTCCCTTGATTAATTGCACAACTTCATAGGCCTCTTAATTATCATTCAGAATTTTCCCTATTTGATATTAATGCTGAAGCATCCTACTTTATGATGGTTTGTTCAGATTATGAAAGGTGAAATATTCAAGTGAAAACAAGCTCAATGCTTTTGTGACTTCGAAGCGTATAATTGGCCAATGGAGCTATCAATGAAAGGTGACAAGTTTTCTATTTGTTCTTATGTTTGGTCTACTCACTCACTCAGCATCGATTGTTTATTGGTAATATTTCGAGAATCTGGGGAAGGAAGATCTGAGGAAGGTTGGGCCTGAAGTTACTGGTTTGAAATTAGTGAGAGGTTAGTTTATTGGAACTGAATAAAATTAATATTGAAGTTTTCCATACGGTTAGAGAGAAAATAATAATAATTGTTGTACTAAATTTATAATTTTGTCTTAATTATAACATTATTATATTATTTGCGTTGAAAGCAACACGTTCCCCAAAAAAAAAAATTTGCTCCACTACCCTAACCCCAAGCTCCACACATAACCTAAATCACAAGTTTGACTGCATTTATCTGTGTTTCCCGCAAATATTCCTCTTTTTCTTGTCTAAATCATGGCCGGATCCTTTGTATTTAACGTTGTAGAAAATACCATTTCGAAACTATGCGAGCTTGCTCTTCAAGAAATTATCCTAGCTTGTGGTGTTTGGGGGAACTTGAAAAGATTGAACAGACGTTAACCACAATCAAAGCGGTGCTTTTAGATGCTGAAGAGAAACAGGCTCATCAACATGAACTACGGGTTTGGCTACAAAGGCTGAGGGACGCCTGTTACGACACAGAAGATGTATTGGATGAATTTGAGATTGAAGCACTGAGGAAGCAAGTTCGGAAAGGGAGTAGCATCGGACAGAAGGTAGGCTATTTCCGTTCGATTTCATACTCACCTGCTTTCAGTGTTAAAATGGCTCACAAGATAAAAGAACTCCAACAGACCTTCCATGATCTTGGTGAGTTGAAAAATAGATTTCATCTCACTGAGATACATGATTACCCAAGGCATGACCGGCGCTTCGACGGGGAGACCCACTCCTTCGTGCAAGCATCGGAGGTAATTGGAAGAAATGATGAGAAAAAAAATTGTGAATATGTTAACGCAAGATGATCAAGCCGGTGAGGAAGACATACCCGTCCTTGCCATAGTTGGATTAGGAGGTCTGGGGAAAACTGCTCTTGCCAAACTGGTTTTCAATGATATAAGTGTGCATAATCACTTTGAGTTGAAACTCCGGGTGTGCGTTTCCGAAGATTTTGATGTTCAACAAGTAGTGCACAAAGTCCTTAAAGCCATTAAAGCCGAAAAGGGTGGTGATGGAGACCTTGGAAGCATGAATTTTCAACAATTACGGGCGGCCTTGCGAGAGTGCTTGAATGGTAAAAGGTATTTGCTTATTTTAGATGATGTCTGGAATGATGATAACAAGAAATGGGTTGAACTGAAACAGTTATTACCCGGAGAAGCTACCGGAAGCAGAATTCTTGTTACCACTCGAACCAATAAAGTAGCAAAGATCACAGGTACAGTCTCCCCTCACAAATTGAAAGCTCTTCCTTCCTACGAATCTTTATCTTTGTTTCTCAAGTTTGCTTTCAAGAAAGGGGAAGAGAAACGACATCCAAACCTTGTGGAAATTGGGGAGCAAATTGTCGAGAAATGCAAAGGGGTTCCACTGCTACTGAAGACCTTGGGGAGTATGCTTTTGTCCAAAACATCAGAGCGGGAGTGGGAACTTGTGAAGAATAGTGAGACTTGGAAATTAATGGAGAAAGATGACGAAATAGTTTATGTTCTGAAACTAAGTTATGATCAACTGTCTCCTCGGTTGAAGCAATGTTTTGCTTATTGCTCACTCTTTCCCAAAGACTATGAATTTATTGAGTTTGGTTTAATCTCGTTTTGGATGGCTCACGGTCTGCTTGAATCATCGTATGAAAATGAAAATCCCTTTGATATTGGAAGGCAGTATTTGAACGACCTGTTGGCACGATCTCTTTTGGAAGATTTTAATGTGGCATTTCTTTATGGTGTATTCAAAATGCATGATCTTTTACATGATCTGGCGTTATTGGTAGAAAAGAACGACTGTTGTTTGGTGAACTCTTTCATGCCCCAAGTGTTCGGCATGTGTGCCTCGATCTCCTTGGTAAATTAGGACATGTGCGTACACTTAGGTTTCCCAATATGAAAAAGAGAGCAACCAGCAAATTCTTGGATGAAAATTGCCTCGAGAGATTTCAACGTTTGCGGGTGCTTGATCTTTTTGGGTCTACTTTCGATGTCTTGCCCAAATGGATTGGTAACTTGAAGCTTTTAAGGTATCTCAACCAGAGTATCAAATAGCGTTCGCAGTTACGTTTTCGGTCACGTCGCGTTTATCGCGGTTGCGGACATAACGGATGTCATCGCGTTCACTGTGGGTATCGCAGTCGTGAATTTTTTAAATTTTGCACAATTTATCTTAAAACATAATAAAAATAATTTTAATTATTAGAAATCATTTTTAATGATTTTTAAAATATTTTCTAAGCGAAATTGACATATATACAATATAGTTTAATCAAATAGAAGACTTTAAAAATACGATGATAGGATAAGATAATTAATTAACGATGACATTGTGAATACATTATTATTTAAAAGAAATAAGACTGTCAACAATCAACATAGGAAAAAATTAAGAAATTAAAATGGATAAAAATAAATTTTGCTATAACTATGAGATTAAAATAATCTAAGAAATTAAAAATCTAAGAAATTATAATGGATAAAAATAAAATCTAAGAAATTAAAAAATTAAGAAACTTAAAATTTATAAAAAAATATTAAAATTCATTAGTAATATTGTATGAATGGTCGTTGTCGGGGCATTGAAACATGTAGAACGACGATTGGCACAGTAAAGCCCACGTTTATGAACAAATGATGCTATCTAACATATCTTTGGTATTCGCTTGCTAGGTAGAGTGCTGCATTTGCTACATCCTCAGCCTAAAGATACACACCCTTGGGCCATAAGGCAACAATCAAACCCATCACGGGTTGAGGAACACAAGTATGCTTAAAACTCAAACCCTGAATAGTTTTTTAGACATTTATTTATTTATTTAAAGGATTTTTCTTATATTTTTATATTTTTTATAAAATGAAATTTTTCATAATTTAGGTATTAAAGTTAATAAATTAAATCGTGAAATCAGCCTTAAAATGATATTAGTGAAATATTTATAAAGTGATTATTCATTTTTCCCTAATTTTTACTAGATATTATTTAGATTAAAATATAAATACAAAGGTTACAACTGAAAATATAAAAAAGGTAAAAAAATAATACTTTTCTCTTCTTAAAAAATTCATATTTTTACCAAAGATCTAATCACCATAACATCTAAATATCTAAAATGAGTACATAACTTAAATAATGAATCTATTTAAAAAAATTAAATAATTAATTCATGGTTTGACTTCTTAATTATATATCTTTTCTCATTTTTATTTAGTTTTGTTATATATCTTATTTTATTCAAGTTACAGACATTAAAAAATATCAGATATTGTATTATATAAGTATTTTTTTGGTAATTATAATAAAATAATGATTTAAATATTAAAATAATGTATATATAACGCATAAATCAAATGGTATATTAAGCCTTGGAAAGAATAAGAAGAAAACACGGGGTGAAGTGTCATGAAAACGAGGGATCAAATTTCCTAATTTGAAGCGGAAGTCATTCAGGGAGGACTTTTCATTTCACTTTTCTTCACTCCCCAGTTCACTCTTCTTCACCCCACAACGCCACCCATTTCACTATTATTCAATTTTCACTCATTTCATTTCCAAACACGAGAGAATGGAGGCCAAAGAGGGGAGCAGATGGTGGACTTCAAAACTATTCAAAAACAAAATCCTCTGTCAAAACGATCCATAAACCCACAAACTGCTCATGGTGGGTCAAGGAATCGACGATCATCATCTGCTACTCGAAGGACTTTCTCCGGCGCATCTTCTATCCAAAACTGGTCAGAGCTAACTCGGGAATCCAAAGTCCCTTCATTTTCATTTTGTTTTCGTTTACAGTTGATTGCAGCAGAGGTTGGTTTTTGATTTTGTCTTGGAATCACGGTTGAATAACGGTGGTTGTATCCCATTGTTGGCGCAATCGTCCGTTTCCCGTTAAATTGTGGGCGCAATCAACCGATATTGGCGTGAATCCATAACCCACCGCAAAAACCATGAAAACCGGTTTTGGATGATGGCACGACCGTAATATCACGGCCGCTATCACAGTTTCGGAATGCTATTTGATACCATAATCTCAACCTTTGTGACTCTCGCCACATCAAGAAACTCCCCAACTCCATTTGTGAGTTGCAGAATTTGCTCAGTCTGGGTTTTGCTGGATGTGATCAAATTGAAGAGCTACCAAAGGATATGAGGAAGATGACCAGTCTCATATTTTTATCATTAACTACAAAGCAACGAGATCTTAGTGGTCATGGATTAGAACACTTTAAATCTCTTCAATTCTTGATCATATGGGGCTATGATAATCTAGAATATTTATTTGAAGGGATTCAAAACCTCACATCTCTCCATACATTGGGTGTTGCCAGTTGCAAGAACTTGGTATCACTCCCACATTGTTTGAATAATCTTACTGCATTGCAAACTCTAGTTATTGGGATTTGTGAGAAGCTTGTTTTGAGTGAACCTCATAGATTCAAAGATAAGGAAGGCAATGATTATCAAGGTTTCAGCCTTCAATCATTGGAAACTACAAATTTGCAAAAGATGGAGACTCTACCCTATTGGCTTCTACGGTGATCTGCCAAAACTTTAAAGTATCTGATGATTAAAGACTATGAGAACCTCAAAGTATCACCGGAGTGGAACAATCTCACATCACTTAAAAAATTCGAGATCACACGTTGCCCACGATTATCAAGTCTGCCAGAAAGCATGCAATGCCTCAAACGATTACATATTGAAGGTTGTCCTCTTTTAAGTGAAAAATGCAAACAAGAAGTTGGAGTGGATTGGCCCAAGATTGCTCATGCTTATCGTATAAGTTTGGATGGCAATATAATTTCAGTTGAAGATGATTGATCAGCGCCTTCTTAACGGTAAGAGTTGATATTCTATTTCTTTTCCTCGTGCTTCTCAATATAACAAAACGGTAAATGCCAATAAATTTATACATATTGCAACATTTTTAGCCCAAATGCCACAAAATGGTAACATTAACGGCATTTTTCCACAAACGCCGCTAAAACACTTACTTTAGTGGCATTTATTTCACAAATACCGCTATAGAGTAGTGATTTAATGGCGTTTTAAAAAAAATGCCGCCAAAGAATCGTATTTATTGGCATTTTTAAACAAACGTTGTAATAGGATACATAAAAATGTCGCTCTAACCTAGTACTTTAGTGGCATTTTTAATCATGGTTTTAGGGAATGTAGAGAATTTCTCTAGGTTCCAAGGAAGAGTAGAACGGTCAGGGTTTTTAATCATGGAAAGACACTCACTTTTACCACTTGGTTTAATAACAAAAACCTTAGCTTCAAATACGCAGGAGTCATTGCAGAGATATCCATTATTGCTTGTATCTTCCAAAGTTTCCAGGGAAATTAACTTGGAAAATCTCCATTCCGTCTTTTATTTACAGCGGCTCTTTGTTGCGGCACCCAGCTCTGTACTCTGTGGGTATTGTCCGTCGAAGTTAATTGTCTCTTTGTTTCCGAGAAATCTGTTGACTGTTATTCATTTACTTCCTGTTCCAGTACAATTTTCATTTTTATTCTTCTCTTAAAATTTTAGTGTTTTGAGTGAGTTTCACTACTTAAATTTAATCGCTTAAGGACTTAAAGGAAGGTATTTATGGCTTCTTGATAACTGTCGTTTTACTATCAAAATAATTTCGACTTCTTAATAAGTAAAAAGTGAGAGTAGAATAGAGAAGTAGAGTCGATCCACAGGACTCTGGTGTTTTTGATTTAGTGGACTTTTTGATTTAGAGGAAGATAAAATTTCAGAAAAAGGTAAGAATAAAATAATAAAATACATAATTAAATATAAATTGTTTAAAATAGAAGATAAGGATATAATGATAAAATAAATAATTAAATATTTATAAGATAAGGATAAAGATAAAATGGGGGAGTTTTTAAATTGTTTAAAAAAATAAAATGAGATAAAGATTAAATAAACAAATAAATAAAATAAATTAAGATAAATAAAACTTATGGTAAAAACAGTCTGAGGCTTCAGCTTTGCTTCAAATTCCTCGGATCATCAAAATAGATCTTTGCTTCAAGATTCACGTCGGCTACTTGTCTACAATGACAAATCCTTGCTACTCTTCTTTGTATACCGAATATCCAAGTGCACTCTTTAATTTCGGTTTGTGAGTTGATCTAAGCAACAATAATGTTGTAGATCTTAAAACGTTGAAGTTCAAAAAGCTCCTGACTCGGATTATGTTGTTTCAACAATAACTGATTCTGATCTCAGTTTCCTCTTAGCAAACAATTTTGCTAAGTGTGTTCACAGGAAGTCGAATGTGCTTCAATAAGCCGTTCTTTCCTCCCACGTTAACCATAACAACATCCATACCAACGTTGACTTTTGGTTTTGAAAATCGTTTTGATTTGAAAATAAGCCCAGAAAATAGAGAGAAAAAACCGAAGCGATTTAAGTGCCTTACAATTCTCACGTATGGAAATGAGCCTTCGCTTTAGCCTTCGGCTTAAAAGAAAATTTGCCAAGCATAACCAAAGTCATACTTAGCATATTTGAAAACAAAACTTTAAAATAAAATAAAAAAATCGAAAACTTGAAAGGAAATAAAAGAGAGAATTTTATAAAGCTAGAGAGAAGAAGAAGAGTAAATTCTCAGTTGTTGAGAGATATGTTTCTAGGCTTACCCTGAGAGGGTATTTATAGCCTTCAAAATCCTAAAAACAAGGTAGAGATAATTCCTAAAATAAAAAAATAAATCCTAATTAAAATACTAAAAACTATTTAAACTAAAATACCTAAAACAAAAATAAGATAAAATATAATATTTAAAATAATATCCTAAAACATTAGTTTAATTCAAATCCGAATTGCAGAAACGTGCGACTGATCCATTCGTTCTTCTAAAGGC